TGACCATTCGCCACAGAGAGGAGCAGGTGGTGTTGCTCTGTTTCTCCGAAAAACATTAAACAGTTGTTCCTCTACGTATCAGAAAGTGACAACATCATTGGCGCTACAGTGACTATTAACGGGAATACAACCATTATCATTGGTACCCGACGTCGGCCCACAAATCTGCTTGATTCTGGGGAATTGTGAAGAACTGTAAATACCTTTGATCTATATGATCTCTCAAGAAGCAGAGACAATATTAGTTGGCGATTTTAATGCTGTGCTGAAAAAAGATACTGTGTTGACTCAAAGCGTAGAGCTATGTATCTAAATGAGGGTTTAACAGAACGAAACCTTGTATCCGTTATACCTCTAGATGATAGTAATGTTTGTACTTATTCCAGCAAGTGTAAAACACGAAGACGTTTGATTGACTACGTCTGCATAGACTGTGATCTGAGAAATAGGGTACTGGGTTATGCTTTTGACAATAACTTAAGCTATGCTGTATCCGACCACTTTGCTATCCTCACGGTGTTTCGTAGTGAAACTCCTACATACAGCTATACTGGTGGTATACACCTAAATTGGCGGAGAGCCAATCAAGTAGATCTCTCATTGTATCGGTATGAAACTGAAAACTATTTTAGAAACGTTGAATGAGACAATGAGAAAATGTCGCAATAAATCGAATGGTAAAATCCATGATAAAGAGAATAGTTACTACATTGCATATAAAGAAGCAAAACGTATTTTCAGAAAACGACATCGTCAGTCAAAGAAATGTCACGGGTTCAGGCCTTAGTCTTGCCAAGCAGACACAATAACGGACGGAGATCCTCGTTTGTGTAAAACATCTCGATTATTGCCTGTGAATGATACAACATTAGTAAGATGTTGTGTCCGCCATGCATGTGTGACGGCTGACGGATGACAATTGAATGTGAATTCAAATTGTCATATTAATTACTCAACTGCTAATAGCATAGCAGTGGCATACGTTATATTTATGAAAACAATTGAATAATAGTGATTGTTTACATGATGACGTCACATACTGGTGATGAATCATAATATTACTAAACCTATACACAGTTTGTGTTGATAATACAAGGTTTATAAAATAGATCATAATTTGTAATTATACTTCCACACACTGTCTTACGTGCTAGTGCTGAAGTTAGTAAGTGATAGGCGATAGATATGTTTACTTTATGCGCGGTCGGTAACAATATGTTTACTAACTCAAGGTACTTAGTTGATAATAATTAGATATTTAGCACTATGAAATAGAGAAAGAATATAGAGAGGGTGCTCACCTGTGAATTATACAACATTAGTAAGATGTTGTGTCAGCCATGCATGTGTGATGGCTAACGGATGACAATTGAATGTGAATTCAAATTGTCATACGTCACAGGTGTAGAAGCCCGTGATTTTGGTGGTGAGCCAAATACGGGTAGCACGTACAACTCCCTATCTAAGACAGTGGAGAAGCAGCCTTCTGATGGAATGATAGAGAAATAAAAGACAGAAACATGAGGATCATCTTAAATTCAAAAGAATGTTGAGGCGTCTGAACTAGGTATGCAAGAGTACTACCAAAATATACAAACGTATCAAGGAGGTATATGTGTGACACCCCTCTCTACCATGTACAGATGTTAAGTTTGAATCAGATTTTACTGACTATCTAAATAACCTTGTCTTTGTCAATGTCCTTTTACGTTTGATGATATATTATGCACTATTCGGCGACTTGTTCATCATGAATATCTACCTTGTGGTTTTAATGTTGGTACTATACTCCGCATGCACAAAGGTAAAGGTGAAAGCACATGCGATCCTTCAAATTACCGGGGAATAACTGTAACTCCATTTTCAGCAAATTATTCGAAGAATCATCTTAGAAAGAATAGAAAATTGGAGTTAAATCTCAGTAAATCTTTCCCGCACAAGTATCAATTTGGATTCCGTAAAGGTGCTGGTGCAGAAACAGCTGCATTAACACTGTTAGAAAGTAGAGATTATTACAGGGAAAGAAACTCACCAGTGTATTGTGTCTTTCTAGACAACGAACAGGCTTTTGGTAGAGTATGGCTCAATGGATTATTATATAAATTCCATCACTTTGTTACAAATGGTAAACTGCGGCGTATCTTACATATTAAATATAATTCAATGCAGGCTTGTGTTGAAATAGGGAGAGTTGCATCTTCTTCCTTTCCTGTTAAACAAGGTGTTGACCAAGGCTGTATTTTGTCAGCTTGGCTGTTTTCATTGTATATTAATGACCTATTATACGCACTGGAAACAGTACAACACGGTTTAAGTCTTCCATGGGGTGATGTGCCAGGTATGTTATTAGCAGATGACACAACTATAAATGGAGCCATAGATGGCCTACAGTGTGCACTAAATGTGTGTTTGAGTAATCCTGTAAATGGCATCTCAAATATAATGCCGACATAATATAAGTGTATTCTTATTGTTTGGTAATACCCAAAACATACATGTCCATCATTTTACATTGGGGAGAAGATTGTAACAGAAAAAGATCTTGTTGTGTATGCTGGCTTGGAAACCACTGCATCTTTAACTTTTGTGCTGTCTCCAAAACCATGTGATAAACTTAGAATGTTAGTCAACACAAATCGCTGTACAATGGTTTGTACTTTGGTGATCTAAATACCATGTCTGCCTGTGGAGTCTCGGAACAGAGTTACCATGTGCCCTGTTTGCTTGTGAACTATGTTGTAGACTAACATCTAAAGAGTATTAAATACTTGAAAGAGCACAATCATTCTTCTGTAAAACATCTAGGGACTTTCCAAATGTTCTTCGGCAGTTGTCGCACGAGAAAAACGTTGTCTTATGTTCCTTGGCAAATTATATAGAAGTGATTTAATCTTTGAATTCAAGAATGTCTTAAACTATAAACTTAGTGAATTCTTACTTGACTCATGTTATGAAAGAGAAGCTAAAAGTACAAAATCCCCTATCTACCCTATGCTACTATGAACATATAAATACGACCTGACAGATTAGCTAAATACATACATTGTGTCTGCCAGCTTTCCTAGTAAATCAAAATGTTACGAAAACAATTCATGATGCTGGAAATGTCTATATATGTAAAGAGTTAACGTCAAGGGAAAATCAACATAGATACTATTACTCAGGACGAGACCAGAATATACATAGACTATGGCAAATGTCGATCTGATCTACTTCACTGTTTTGCAAACTTGGTGCAAATCAGTACGTATTCAATCAAAAGAGACTCAGTATATGTGGCACATTTGCCTACGATATTGTCAAACATGTTTTTATGTACTGCGAGCTGACAAGCCTTTGGAACAATGATGAAGAATTGACTCTATGTTTCTTACTCGGAGGACTTCCAACGGAATATTGTCTATCCCTTGATGATAATGTATGGCTTGAATGTATCACCAATGTAGGTACAACTGTAAACCACTGGAAACATTTCTTAGTAAACTGTATGTAACTAGTTGTATTCCCCTGTTTCTGATCTGCATGTAAATATATCTGATTCATATCATATTGTATCTTCATTCACTGGAGAAAATAAAGAATATCTATCTATCTATCTCTACCCAAAAGGCAGTTAAATTATACTAAAGTTGAATTAAAGGAACTCAACCAGGAACTAAGTAAATAAGCTATGTAAGTTTATCATTTTCAGAAAATCACAGTATAAAATTAATAATGAAAGTATTTCTTTACAACATTACATATACAAATATGTAAACTACAGAGATACATAGAACACTGCCATACTAGTGATATGTAAACTACAGAGATACATAGAACACTGCCATACTAGTGATATGTAAACTACAGAGATACATAGAACACTGCCATACTAGTGATATGTAAACTACAGAGATACATAGAACACTGCCATACTAGTGATATGTAAACTACAGAGATACATAGAACACTGCCACACTAGTGATATGTAAACTACAGAGATACATAGAACACTGCCATACTAGTGATATGTAAACTACAGAGATACATAGAACACTGCCATACTAGTGATATGTAAACTACAGAGATACATAGAACACTGCCATACTAGTGATATGTAAACTACAGAGATACATAGAACACTGCCATACTAGTGATATGTAAACTACAGAGATACATAGAACACTGCCATACTAGTGATATGTAAACTACAGAGATACATAGAACACTGCCATACTAGTGATATGTAAACTACTAGAGATACATAGAACACTGCCATACTAGTGATATGTAAACTACAGAGGTACATAGAACACTGCCATACTAGTGATATGTAAACTACAGAGATACGTACATAGAACACTGCCATACTAGTGATATGTAAACTACAGAGGTACATAGAACACTGCCATACTAGTGATATGTAAACTACAGAGATACATAGAACACTGCCAGAACACTGCCATACTAGTGATATGTAAACTACAGAGATACATAGAACACTGCCATACTAGTGATATGTAAACTACAGAGATACATAGAACACTGCCATACTAGTGATATGTAAACTACAGAGATACATAGAACACTGCCATACTAGTGATATGTAAACTACAGAGATACATAGAACACTGCCATACTAGTGATATGTAAACTACAGAGATACATAGAACACTGCCATACTAGTGATATGTAAACTACAGAGATACATAGAACACTGCCATACTAGTGATATGTAAACTACAGAGATACATAGAACACTGCCATACTAGTGATATCTAGAATAGTTGGGAATCACGAGCAATCACTTTGACGTCAGTCAACTGAAACTGCAGGTGAGAGTGAAAGATAAAACGAATCTATTAACATTATGAACTGTGGTAACCATTACACATTGATGTAAGTGATAAGGTGGGACATGTGTCTGTCATTGTTGTCAGACATCACTGATGTGTTATCTCCTGTCTACATTGTTTGTGACGAGCCGGGGTATTATATACACGATGTAACACGTAACAACACACAGATCGCAGGTCGATACCAAGCACGTTAAGTGCCGTGTGTGGTCAGTCTAACATCCCCGGGGTGGGCCCGGCGGATGACCAACTGCCCCGGGGGAGAAGTGGACCAGCAATGTACCCTGCAAGAGATAAGGGCGTATGCCTCGGGTAGATGAGTATATACGGGTATATAAGCAAAATGAAATGAGCAACTTCATACCTACGACTGCTGCGACTCTGAGTGCTGCATCGTCCATTGACACCAGGAATTGTTTAATCGGCACTCTACAAGTTGGTGAGTCAGTAACGAAGCATGGACGAAGTAACGACTTTATGGACAACAACTTCTTGATTATTGAGTAGAGCGACGTCTCGGTGTAGATTCGTAGCGGAAATACCGTCAGAACGGTTTACGAATCTACAGTCGTTCTGTTCAATAAACAAGACGTCGTTGTCCTTAAAGTATATCTGTTTGTGCATGTTTAGTCGGTATGAGTTAAAATATACTATCCGTCAAAAGTTTAGACTCACTAGTGTAACTGTAGCCACTTTCCTCAGTCAACTGTTCTAAACTAGATTTTGCAAAATATTCCATACTGTTTAAAGGTACTGTTTACACATGAACTTAATATGTATTGTAAAACAAACTTGTAACACTGAAAAGATTATTGTCATGAGTTCATTAAATGATGAAAGTCAGTGAAAATTGACAACTTTACACCAAAACGCAGCTGTTCACATGCACGATATTTTCACATGCTTTACAGCAATTTCAAGCATGATCCTCGTGCAATTCATCTGCACAAGGTTTGCAGTTGGTTCCCCCCAAGTTAGTGGAGAAATTCATCTTCGATGTAACTATACATATATACATAACATATAGTGAGTGCTTAAAGTGAGTCTAAACTTTTGATGGGAAGTATTCGTTAGGGAAGTGAAATGTTGTTTGGACTGGTTGTGATCGTGAGCAGATTTCCGACATTTCACTGTACTCAGCGTGGTTGCCGGGCAACAGACGTTATAGCCTGATTCTTGTTAAACTGATGCATACATGAAATGTTTTGTCGATGATGTATTTCTTACATGTATCACAGTTGTGTTTCGGACCTTGTGTTTTCAATGTGTAGACCACTGTTGTCACCCTAGGAAGGTTTCGTATCGGTTAATATTTACTTTTGTCAAGAACAAATTAAGTTCCGAGTGTATACCTTGTTTTTCCCGATACTTTATGATCCAGCCACTGTCATGCGTTATTTCCTTACGCCGTATACAGAATCCCACATAGTGTTGATTCACCGTGTTTCAGCCACCTACAGGATGTTGTACAAAGTTGTCCTGACGTTGTGGGCCACGCTGTCACTAACAGCAGGTACGTGTATATATAGTGACTATCTTCATTAAACGGAATGTAATGGAAGCGCTGAAGGGACCTCATGAAATATAATTTATCTTGAGCGCACAAGTTAGTATATTGAGCGCACAAGTTAGTATCTTGAGCGCACAAGTTAGTATCTTGAGCGCACAAGTTAATATCTTGAGCGCACAAGTTAGTTATCTTGAGTGCACAAGTTAGTATCTTGAGCGCACACGTTAGTATGTTGAGCGCTCAACTTAGTATATATTGAGATACACTGCTTCATAAGCAGTTCATGTGGAAGCAAGGAGGAGCGGAAACGCGAACTGATTCATGCTTATTTCAGTCTTTGGGTTCCAATACAAACACGTAACACATCTTCTTGTCAAAACTCAGGGTATAGTATAGTACGCCACTTGAAGCGTATTCTGAGGTGTATGTCCCTCTCTCGTACCAGATACCAGATTTGCTGATGTTACAGTGAGTGAGTGAATACGGTTTACACCGCTTTTAGCAATATTCCAGCAATATCACGGTGGGGAACACGAGAAATGGGCTGCACACGTTGTACCCAGCTTGGGGAATCGAACCCAGGCGTGACGAGCGGACGCTGTAACCACGAGGCTACCCCACCGCCGCGCTGATGTTGCATACTTTATTGCGGACGACTTCGACGATCTGAACAAAGACATGGTTATCGTTGATGCATCAAAAATGTATTCAATGCGGTTTAATTGTGAAACAGGATACTGTACGGTCGTTGTTGGACCCGAATGGTGTTGAATTTCGCTCAGGACACTTGTCTTCATCGACGTCTTTATTCTTCAACTTCCTGTGTTGTTAAAACATGTTAAATAAACTACAACACACATACGTATACAAAAAGGGATTGATACGGAAGAAGTGAAACGGGTAACACGGTATTTTAGTAAGAAATAAAGTCGGTATATATGCTATACGTGCACATACTAATGGATCAAATAAATCAGGCGGGTTTTAAAATGATATTGTACAGAGTTAAACTGCCATTGTACCCACGTTAGGAAACATTACTGATACATGCAAACCAAGACTACAGACTATAGTTCCCTGAAAGTGGTCGACTTTACTTCCAATACATCAGACATTAGTTTTATAATTAAGATAATTAAAGTATAACACTCAATGTTTACATTTTCATGGTCATGTAATACTATATATACATAATAAAGCCGTAGCAAAACAAGTTATCCAAGTGTTCATAATTCTATGTATCAATATAAGAAGCAAGTAAAACCACTATTCATCCCTGCAATAAACTCCTACTCATGTTTATGTTTTAATTCTTATTATGACATTACACATACCTAGGCCTGCTTTATGTAATAAAGCAAAAAGTGGTAAAATCAGATACAAAGAATAGTATTGACAAGCATAAAGACGATGAACGTTTACATGATAAACATTATCAATGTTCATGATACATTTGCATACTTTTACATAGTCTCATCATAAACACCTATTGTTAACTCCGACTTTGCATCGTTTGAAATCTTCCAAAAGGATATAAGTTTGTACATTTTAGCCAGCAGTCAAGCAAATGTGCGTTCCATTAATGCCATTAGATGCTAAACACGGAGTTGAGCGCTCAAGATATTAACTTGTGCGCACAAGATACTAACTTGTGCGCTCAAGATACTAACTTGTGCGCTCAAGATAACTAACTTGTGCGCTCAAGATATTAACTTGTGCGCTCAAGATATTAACTTGAGCGCTCAAGATATTAACTTGTGCGCTCAAGATATTACTCAGGCGCTCAAGATATTAACTTGTGCACTCAAGATGTTAACTTGTGCGCTCAAGATACTAACTTGTGCGCTCAAGATAACTAACTTGAGCGCTCAAGATATTAACTTGTGCGCTCAAGATAATTTTTATTTTATGAGGTCCCTTCAGCGCTTCCGTAAACGGAATGCAACCTCTTCCGACCAATGTTTAACATATCAGTGCATCTTATTCTTCTACTTGAAATTTGACAATCATAGTACCAAACCTGTGTCGTGATGCTATTTATAGAACTCTTTTCAGGTAATATTGTCACACACACATATCATAGTGAAGTACATTGTATTGACTTTATACCGAATGCAGAATGCGGCAACATGTAATATCTTACACAACTGACTTACATCATGTAATAGACCCACCTCCGTGGTGTAGTGGTTAGAGCGTCCGCCCGGAGAGCGGAAGGTCGCGGGTTCGATCTCCGACCGCGTCATACCAAAAGACGTTAAAATATGGTACTTGTTGGTCCCTGCCTGGCGCTCGGCATTAATGGGTACAACAAGGACTGGTCGGCTCGGAGTGAGTATAATGTGTCTGAGTGGGGTATTCGTGCTTCACTGCGGCATGGTATCTCAGTGGGCTAGCACTATAAAACCAGCTTCAGTCTGGGCTAGTACAAGCAGCCGCACATACACATACACACGCATGCACGTCGTCATATGAGCGAAATATTCTCAAGCACGACGTTAAAACCCAATTTCACCTCACCTCACCTCACCTCACCTCACCTCACCTCACCTCACATCACCTCACCTCACCTCACCTCACCTCACATCACCTCACCTCACCTCACATCATGTTAGAAGATCTTGTTTTTCCCTGTTACAGGAACCTGTAATCTGAAGCGACTCTGCTACTTCACCAGTTGGGCTCAGTACCGTACTGGGAACGCCAAGTTCAACCCCTCTGACATCGACCCGACGCTATGCACCCACATCATCTACGCCTTCGCCAGGATCGACACCACCACCTTCAACGTCATCACACACGAATGGAATGACATAAGTAGGTTGGGAGCAGCTCTGGTGGTGCAGGGGCAGGACGGGACAGCTCTGGTGGTGGAGGGGGTAGGACGGGACAGCTCTGGTGGTGGAGGGATGGGACGGGGCAGCTCTGGCGGTGTGGTGAGTAGGACGGGACAGCTCTGGAGGTGGAGGGGTAGGACGGGGCAGCTCTGGTGGTGGTGGGTAGGACGGGGCAGCTCTGGTGGTGGAGGGGTAGGACGGGGCAGCTCTGGTGTTGTGGTGGAGGGGCAGGACGGGACAGTTCTGGTGGTGGAAGGGGGCAGGACGGGACAGTTCTGGTGGTGCAGGGGGGGTAGGACGGGACAGTTCTGGTGGTGGAGGGGGTAGGACGGGACAGTTCTGGTGGTGGAGGGGGTAGGACGGGACAGTTCTGGTGGTGGAGGGGGTAGGACGGGGCAGCTCTGGTGGTGTGGTGGGTAGGACGGGGCAGCTCTGGTCGTGGAGGGGGACAGGACGGGACAGTTCTGGTGCTGTGGAGGGGGTAGGACGGGGCAGCTCTGGTCGTGGAGGGGGTAGGACGGGACAGTTCTGGTGGTGGAGGGGGTAGGACGGGACAGTTCTGGTGGTGGAGGGGGTAGGACGGGACAGCTCTGGTGGTGCAGGGGGTAGGACGGGGCAGCTAGTGGAATGTTTGCATACCGCACGTAGTGGTCTGTGTTTGTGGATGGGCTGACATAGACACAGGAGAATGTTTGTATATCACAGTGTCATTGAGTGGATGATTTCTTTTCTTCAGCGCTGTACGGCGAGATTGTGAGCTTAAAGGCAGCTAACCCGGACGTAAAAATCATCCTAGCTATTGGAGGTTTCGGCGTGTCGTGGCAGTTTAATGCCGTCGTCACTAGCGATAACAACATCCGCACATTCGCCGACAGTGCCATCACCTTCTCCAGGCAACATGGATTTGACGGCATTGACATAGACTGGGAGTTTCCAGTTGACTCCGGGTTGTCTGCTCGGTTTACAACACTGATGCAGGTGAGTGGTACATCGTCAGTTGTGTGGTACATCGTCAGGTGAGTGGTACATCGTCAGGTGAGTGGTACATCGTCAGGTGAGTGGTACATCGTCAGGTGTGTGGTACATCGTCAGTTGTGTGGTACATCGTCAGTTGTGTGGTACATCGTCAGGTGAGTGGTACATCGTCAGGTGAGTGGTACATCGTCAGGTGTGTGGTACATCGTCAGGTGAGTGGTACATCGTCAGGTGAGTGGTACATCGTCAGGTGAGTGGTACATCGTCAGGTGGGTGGTACATCGCCAGGTGGGTGGAACATCGTCAGGTGAGTGGTACATCGTCAGGTAGGTGGTACATCGCCAGGTGAGTGGTACATCGTCAGTTGTGTGGTACATCGTCAGGTGGGTGGTACATCGCCAGGTGGGTGGTACATCGTCAGGTGAGTGGTACATCGCCAGGTAGGTGGTACATCGTCAGTGGGTGGTACATCGCCAGGTGAGTGGTACATCGTCAGTTGTGTGGTACATCGTCAGGTAGGTGGTACATCGTCAGGTAGGTGGTACATCGTCAGGTGGGTGGTACATCGTCAGGTGGGTGGTACATCGTCAGGTAGGTGGTACATCGTCAGGTGAGTGGTACATCGTCAGGTGAGTGGTACATCGTCAGGTGAGTGGTACATCGTCAGGTGAGTGGTACATCGTCAGGTGAGTGGTACATCGTCAGGTGAGTGGTACATCGTCAGGTGTGTGGTACATCGTCAGGTGAGTGGTACATCGTCAGGTGAGTGGTACATCGTCAGGTGAGTGGTACATCGTCAGTTGTGTGGTACATCGTCAGGTGAGTGGTACATCGTCAGGTGAGTGGTACATTGTCAGGTGAGTGGTACATCGTCAGGTGAGTGGTACATCGTCAGGTGAGTGGTACATCGTCAGGTGAGTGGTACATTGCCATGTGATTGGTACATCGCCAGATGGGTGGAACCTCGTCAGGTGGGTGGTACATCGCCAGGTGGGTGGAACATCGTCAGGTGGGTGGTATATTGCCTCGTGTGTGGTTCATCATCCACACCCCGGTCATCAATTGATGTGTCTGACTGCCATGTCTTTGGTGGGATATCCACAGTGCATCATAGTGTGAAGTGATGTGGTAAGGTATTGAATACCTGGTCTTCTTTAGCATGAATCCGTCACCTAAATCCATCTGACATTGGGCCCAGTGCTGTTGATCTGGTCAGCTGCGTGCTAGACGACATGTCTGGCATATGGAACACACCACTGGTGCTGCCGCTACCTAAAGTGTGATGCCAATAGCGATGGACAGCTAGCCGTAATCACCATCCGCTGATTGCAGTACATTATCTACTAAGCTTACGCCATTTTGTTTAACATGCCTGACAGATCCCCTGAGAATCTTTTTAAGTCTTCAAATCAACATGCAAATCCAAAATGTACAACATAAAGCATTCAGTTTCTTTACACAGTCGTGGTACACATCATGTTTTGGTCTGTTCATTCTGTCATGAATGTAGTCCATGTCTTCCAAACTGGTCGACATGATCACGCCACCTATAGATGATGCGGGTAGTCACCGAGCATCTACAGCTGTGTGGAAGTATTGTCCTCTACACAATCTATCCCTTTGTTGGTGACCTGTGGGGATAGTCGTGAAGTAGAAGCATTAGTAGAAGCATTGGTGGAAAGCGTGTTGTTAAAATACAATCGAAAAAAAATATAATTTAAGCACATAATTAATCAGCTGTATTTATATTGGCAGATAATGAGGAGTAAGATAGACGGAGAGGTTCTAACTGCAGGCCTCAACACACTGCTATTAATCATCGCTGTCTCAGCCGGCAAGTACAACATCGATGGTTCCTACAACATCCCCACCGTATCTGGGTAAGTCAGCTACAACATCCCCGCCGTCCAGTTCCAGGTCCCCGCCATCTTTAGTAGGTCAGCTGCACTGTCCCTGATGTCCCTAGTAGCTCAGCTGCACTGTCCCTGCTGTCTCTAGTAGCTCAGCTGCACGGTCCCTGATGTCTCTAGTAGCTCAGCTGCACTGTCCCTGATGTCTCTAGTCGCTCAGCTGCACTGTCCCTGCTGTCTCTAGTAGCTCAGCGTCACTGTCCCTGCTGTCTCTGTCCAGCTGCTGTCCCTCTCTAGTAGCTCAGCGGCACTGTCCCTGCTGTCTCTAGTAGCTCAGCGGCACTGTCCCTGCTGTCTCTAGTAGCTCAGCTGCACTGTCCCTGCTGTCTCTAGTAGCTCAGCTGCACTGTCCCTGCTGTCTCTAGTAGCTCAGCTGCACTGTCCCTGCTGTCTCTAGTAGCTCAGCTGCACTGTCCCTGCTGTCTCTAGTAGCTCAGCTGCACTGTCCCTGCTGTCTCTAGTAGCTCAGCGGCACTGTCCCTGCTGTCTCTAGTAGCTCAGCGGCACTGTCCCTGCTGTCTCTAGTAGCTCAGCTGCACTGTCCCTGTTGTCTCTAGTAGCTCAGCTGCACTGTCCCTGTTGTCTCTAGTAGCTCAGCTGCACTGTCCCTGTTGTCTCTAGTAGCTCAGCTGCACTGTCCCTGCTGTCTCTAGTAGGTCAGCTGCACTGTCCCTGCTGTCTCTAGTAGCTCAGCTGCACTGTCCCTGCTGTCTCTAGTAGCTCAGCGGCACTGTCCCTGCTGTCTCTAGTAGCTCAGCGGCACTGTCCCTGTTGTCTCTAGTAGCTAGCTCAGTCCCTGTTGTCTCACTCAGTCCCTGTTGTCTCTAGTAGCTCAGCTGCACTGTCCCTGCTGTCTCTAGTAGGTCAGCTGCACTGTCCCTGCTGTCTCTAGTAGCTCAGTGGCACTGTCCCTGCTGTCTCTAGTAGCTCAGTGGCACCTGTCTCTAGTAGCTCAGCTGCACTGTCCCTGTTGTCTCTAGTAGCTCAGCTGCACTGTCCCTGTTGTCTCTAGTAGGTCAGCTGCACTGTCCCTGCTGTCTCTAGTAGCTCAGCTGCACTGTCCCTGCTGTCTCTAGTAGCTCAGCTGCACTGTCCCTGCTGTCTCTAGTAGCTCAGCTGCACTGTCCCTGCTGTCTCTAGTAGCTCAGCTGCACTGTCCCTGCTGTCTCTAGTAGCTCAGCTGCACTGTCCCTGTTGTCTCTAGTAGCTCAGCTGCACTGTCCCTGCTGTCTCTAGTAGCTCAGCTGCACTGTCCCTGCTGTCTCTAGTAGCTCAGCTGCACTGTCCCTGCTGTCTCTAGTAGCTCAGCTGCACTGTCCCTGCTGTCTCTAGTAGCTCAGCTGCTGTCCCTGCTGTCCCTGTCCCTGTCTCTCTAGTAGCTCAGCTGCACTGTCCCTGCTGTCTCTAGTAGGTCAGCTATACTGTCCCTGCTGTCTCTAGTAGGTCAGCTGCACTGTCCCTGCTGTCTCTAGTAGGTCAGCTATACTGTCCCTGCTGTCTCTAGTAGCTCAGCGGCACTGTCCCTGCTGTCTCTAGTAGGTCAGCTATACTGTCCCTGTTGTCTCTAGTAGCTCAGCGGCACTGTCCCTGCTGTCTCTAGTAGGTCAGCTATACTGTCCCTGTTGTCTCTAGTAGCTCAGCGGCACTGTCCCTGCTGTCTCTAGTAGGTCAGCTATACTGTCCCTGCTGTCTCTAGTAGGTCAGCTGCACTGTCCCTGCTGTCTCTAGTAGGTCAGCTATACTGTCCCTGCTGTCTCTAGTAGCTCAGCGGCACTGTCCCTGCTGTCTCTAGTAGGTCAGCTATACTGTCCCTGCTGTCTCTAGTAGCTCAGCGGCACTGTCCCTGCTGTCTCTAGTAGGTCAGCTATACTGTCCCTGCTGTCTCTAGTAGGTCAGCGGCACTGTCCCTGCTGTCTCTAGTAGGTCAGCTATACTGTCCCTGCTGTCTCTAGTAGGTCAGCGGCACTGTCCCTGCTGTCTCTAGTAGGTCAGCGGCACTGTCCCTGCTGTCTCTAGTAGGTCAGCGGCACTGTCCCTGCTGTCTCTAGTAGGTCAGCTATACTGTCCCTGTTGTCTCTAGTAGCTCAGCGGCACTGTCCCTGCTGTCTCTAGTAGGTCAGCTATACTGTCCCTGCTGTCTCTAGTAGGTCAGCGGCACTGTCCCTGCTGTCTCTAGTAGGTCAGCTATACTGTCCCTGCTGTCTCTAGTAGCTAAGCGGCACTGTCCCTGCTGTCTCTAGTAGGTCAGCTATACTGTCCCTGCTGTCTCTAGTAGGTAAGCTGCACTGTCCCTGCTGTCTCTAGTAGGTCAGCTATACTGTCCCTGTTGTCTCTAGTAGGTCAGCGGCACTGTCCCTGCTGTCTCTAGTAGGTCAGCTATACTGTCCCTGTTGTCTCTAGTAGGTCAGCGGCACTGTCCCTGCTGTCTCTAGTAGGTCAGCTATACTGTCCCTGTTGTCTCTAGTAGGTCAGCTATACTGGGCCTGGGTGAGTCTCCTCCACCATCCTTTCCGTCTTTCAGTGAATTCGTTAGGACTCTCACTCCCAGTGTTGATTTCCTTGCTACCACCGTACCTTCAGAGTACCACAGGGGCGTGTCACGCTAAGAAACAGCGTTAGAAATTCATATAAGTATATAGACCCTACCCTAGTACTATAACCCTACCCCAGTACTATATATAAAGCTCGTCACTACATGGTTGGAATAATGCCGATGTGACGTAAAGCCCAACTCAAATCAGCTCAACTACTATATAAAAGGAAAGGGATGTAACGACGGAACCACCCCCTGATTTCCCTACAAAATGAGCTATAAATGGTCACAATCGGATCATTATTTCAAAAGTTATACGCCACGACTCACCGAAAACAGCTACCTCCGCAATTCCAAGACAAAATCATGGATCACCCAAGACAGCGAAAACTCACCTTTTAAATTCGTTAATTAATTCCAGCCACATTGACAGCACCTATGTAGGGCTAGATTCGATCGGCAGCGGCATTCCACGGGTCTAAAAACTTATTGCAACATCTACAAATCATTTCCTCGACAGTAAGGAGGCATTTTCTCCAAAACCATCGGTTATTATACTCACTTGTCGGCCATAGATGGCCATAGATGGCCATAGGCCTCGACGGGGCCTTAAAAATAGTTTACGTGGTGAAATCTAACTTTGATTGAGGAGGGGGTGGTTCCATCGTTACATCCCTTTCCTTTTATATAGTACTAGGGTAGGGTCTATATACCTATATGTCTTTCTAACGCTGTTTCTAAGCGTGACACGCCCCTGTGCAGAGTACTGTATCCTGAATGCTTTTTTCTTCCAGCCTTGTGGACCTGATCAATGTGATGACATATGACCTCTCGGGTACATGGAACAATCCCCGAGTGGTTGGCCACCACAGCCCTCTCTATCCCCAGACAGGGGACGTGTCCCCTAATGCCCAGTTCAGTGTGGTAAGTACACAACCTTATACTCTCTCACGTTAGAAATCATCACATTCAGCCAAACACCAACGAAGGCATCACAGTTCACCCTCTTAAGACAAGACATAATGAAGCTTGCATAAAGTAGTAATCATGGACACCAAGGAACTATATGTTCAATTATTCTGATATGTATACCTCTCAGCATGTGTCAGTACTACACCCCTCATGTTTCAATGTTACATACCTGGCTGATGTTTGTCTCCAGGACTGGGCCATGAAGTACTGGCGAGCAGGCGGCGCGGACCCTCAGAAGCTGATCCTGGGTCTGGCTTCATACGGCCGTTCGTTCACCCTCTCGAACCCTTCCAATACCAACATCGGGGCGCCTTTCTCTGGGGCGGGAACACCCGGAGCATACACCAGGTCCAGCGGCTTCCTTGGGTACTTTGAGGTAAGCACGCGGAACTCAACCCCCGTTTTCTTTTGACCTGGCCAACTTTGTTTCGAGACAAGGGTCAACTGACGAACACAGGATCCCTAGTTTTGGAAGAGCTCCAAATGGTGATAACTTTCTGCATCCTACTTCAGATTTGTCAGCTGATCGAGAGGGAAGGCTGGACGAGTGTCAGGATGGCCGACATGAAGGTGCCTTACGCCTACGGGTCCAAAGACGGCCTCACTCAGTGGGTAGGCTACGACGACAGTCAGAGTTTCCGCGAAAAGGTAATGAAGAACTTTTAAACACACACTGAGCTTACACTGATTGTAACATGTGTTGTGCTTACCATACCTATATTTGATTACTTGCAACTGTTCCTCTATAGCTTCAGTACGTGCTGGACAACGGCTATGGCGGCGCCATGGTCTGGTCTTACAGCTTTGATGACTTCGATGGATCCTTCTGTAATGGGGGTGTCAGTTTTCCTCTAATATCACAAATGAAAGACATTCTCAACTGTTCCCTCGTCACGAGTCCAACATCACCGACATCTCCAACATCCCCAACATCACCGACATCACCTACATCTCCAACTTCACCAACATCTCCAACATCACCGACATCTCCAACATCACCAACATCTCCAACCGACATATCACCAACATCTCCAACATCACCGACATCTCCAACATCACCAACATCTCCAACATCACCGACATCTCCAACATCACCAACATCTCCAACATCACCGACATCTCCAACATCACCAACATCTCCAACTTCACCAACATCTCCAACATCACCTACATCTCCAACCTCACCAACATCTCCAACATCACCGACATCTCCAACATCCCCAACTTCCCCGACATCACCTACATCACCTACATCTCCAACCTCACCAACATCTCCAACTTCACCAACATCTCCAACATCACCGACATCTCCAACATCACCTACATCTCCAACATCACCGACATCTCCAACATCACCTACATCTCCAACATCTCCGACTTCACCAACATCCCCGACATCTCCAACTTCACCAACATCTCCAACTTCACCAACATCACCAACTTCACCAACATCTCCAACTTCACCAGCATCTCGAACATCACCGACATCTCCGACGTCAGTTATGGCTGAACAAGGTTTGTCTAAACTTCACAGTGTATGTGTGTGTGCGTGTGTGTGCGTCTGTGTGTGTTGGGGAATAAAAGTGAAAAAATTACTGTTTACTTCTGGTTTTGGACAGGTGTGGATGGATCAGCGTGTCGCCAATGTGCAGCGGTTTTTAACTGAATTTAAACATAGATGTATTGATATTGACGTTTCCATATTTAGCATCATGTTGATGCTATCATTGCCCATTGTAATATTGCATTAACCACTACACCTGTATATGATATTTTATGGCGCTTCGGCTATCCATTGTCTCGATAAAACTCTCTCAATGTATATATGTGTGTGTGTTTTTTGTGTGTGTGTGTGTTTTTTTGTGTGTGTGTGTTTTTGTGTGTTTTGTGTGTGTGTGTGTGTGTGTGTGTGTGTGTGTGTGTGTGTGTGTGTGTGTGTGTGTGTGTGTGTGTGTGTGTGTGTGTGTGTGTGTGTGTGTGTGTGTGTGGGCTGAGTTACCCTATATACGTTTTTCTGGGTTTCTTTTGCATTCTTATTTGAATCCCGACGGACGGGCTAATATGGGTATCAGTTATGCACATCTGTATTACCCTCAACCGTGTTTCCCGCTTCAGCACTGCAGCAGACCTGCATTGACGGTTCCTGGACGTACTCCGGCCTCAGCGCCAACTGCACCATCTTCTACATGTGCAGCAACGGCATTCTAACCTCCTTCACGTGTCCCCGGGATTGGCCTACGACACCAGGTACTCAGTGTGTAACTGGTCGTTCCTGGTTCCCGAATGTAATAACAAGCGATAGAGTTACCCTCACCCAAACCTGTTGAAGATGTTCGCTGTTCTGAGGTTATGCAGACATTTTGTATTATTTGTACTATTTTCTAAATGTTACGTAATATATCGCAACGGAGAATATGTGTTTGTTACATCCTTTTTATGTGCCAGGTGACACATGTGGTCTCACCCACGGGCCCTCGTGTCTTTGCGGGGGTTCAAGGTATTTTAAAATGTTTTTTTAGATGACCCCGGACTCGAAATGCTTCATAGTACAATACGTCATGATATCGAGGGTCATCACAAAAACATTTTTGTTCTTTTATCTTTAATTCTCACAAAGACACGATGGCCTGTGGTCTTACCTTAGCCGAGTGAGTTTTGCCTCTGTTCACCCAGCAGTGAATGTGTACCCTGTGGGATAGGTCATGTGACTAGTAACCTTCTAGTGCCCCACAGGCAGCTTGGGTTATCTGATGAAGTAGTGTCCATCATGTTGTATGCGTTTAGAGCATGCCCATGCGGGGTATAGAAGTGGCCTTACTGTTAGTGGTTTATGATCCCGCATGCCACTGTGTCATCCATGATGTGTGTCAAACATCTAGGATGATGGAATCGAAACCTTATTCGCCTTGGTCTTTAAAATCTGAATTACAAACCTCGGACCATGAAGACTTTGGGCTTTCAACTCGCATCCAACCGGCATGCCGCAATGTAACTGGCATAGAAAGTTGCTCTTTACTGGGAATTTCTCTGCATATAAAACCACATTAAGCAGACAGCCAGCCAATCAGTCCTTAGTCTATCAATGTCTTCCTTTATTAAGGGAGGTATAAAACAGGTATATCACTGCCGTACGTCTATTGCATGGTTTTGTTAGGTGGTGTCCATTGCTCAAATGTGTGGCACACCTGCCAGTAACACGTTTTCACTTCGTCAGGGGAAGTCGAGCACACCTGTTCGTCACGTGTCCTCCCTTGGGCAGGGGACGCAGGGGACGTCAAAAGTACCTGTTCGTCACGTGTCTTCACTTCGTCAGGGGAAATCAAAGACACCTGTTCGTCACGTGTCTTCGCTTCACTTCAAAGGCACCTGTTCGTCACGTGGTCAGGTGTAGTCAAAGGCACCTGTTCGTCACGTGTCTTCCTTTCGTCAAGTGAAGTCAAAGGCACCTGTTCGTCACGTGTCTTCACTTCGTCAGGGGAAGTCAAAGGCACCTGTTCGTCACGTGTCTTCCTTGGTCAAGGGGTCAAAGGCACCTGTTCGTCACGTGTCCTTCCCTTGGTCTTGTGAAGTCAAAGGTACTTGTTCGTCACGTGCCTTCCCTTGGTCAAGCGAAAACAAAGGCACCTGTTCGTCACGTGTCTTCCCTTTGTCAGGTGTAGTCAAAGGCACCTGTTCGTCACGTATCTTCCCTTGGTCAGGTGTAGTCAAAGACACCTGTTCGTCACGTGTCTTCCCTTGGTAAAGGGTAGTCAAAGGCACCTGTTCGTCACGTGTCTTCCCTTGTTCAGGGAATGACTACACAGACTAGCAACCTGAAAATGACTGAACATTGCAACTCATGCACATTAAATACCGGCAGGTGGACATTCCTGGGTTTGCTTCTGGACATGCTCCTCAGCGTGTGTTTGGGAGACGAATTCCGCCAAGTACACTTGCAATAATTTCATAAATGCCACATTAGTATCATATGTATTATCCTACACAAGCTGAACTTGAACATAGTTCTGTTAGTGGTCAAGGTAGTTTGGGGTGCTTAACGTCTGTCCAGGTGTATACATGTATACGCGTCAGATGACATCTGCCTTGATGGAGTGATTCAGTCGCGACCAAGTGTAGAGCTAAAGGATTTGGTAAGACGAAGGAACAACCCAGACAGTTCCAACTGTCGTTTAGCTCTAAATGTGAGGATCAATGGATGTAAATACATAGCTTTGCAACATGACGGGCTGAACGATGCTGCTCAGTTGCCTCTACAATAAGCTGTTAAAATATATAGTTGGATGAATCTAGCTGTTGTCACCCACACTGAGCTTTAGAGAGTTTACAAGCTTTGGACGCGACATAAAGTTGTTTTTTATATTAAGTCACATCACCTCAGGGTACAATGTAAACATGTAACGTGTTGTACTTGAGCATCTTCACCATCTGCCTGGAGGGCCTACTGTATATAGACGGGTATATGCCGAAGGGGGTATGTTTTATTGCCACTGTTTGCTGTCATATACACTTGTCAGTGGTATTTCGTTAGTGATCGTCAACAAGCGCTTCACCACCCACACGGAACACGTCTCGTCACACTGACTGAAGGTAGTATTTTTAATATTTTTGTAAATCAAAACAATCATATAAAAGTGTCAAAATGTTATTGTTCAAGATTCCCTTCTGACAACTAGAGAACTCTTTTCGAAAAAGAAAAATATGAATTAACTCCCGATCCACGTCAATACCAAGGAGTGGTGCTGAAACATGTAAACACGAGGCCTGATGCCCTGCCCATAAATGCAGGTATACACAATGAGATTGGTCTGTTGTATCTAACACAACTGGAAATTTAAATCATTTTATAAATGCAATGACTAAAGTTTACTTAGGTGGAGTATAGACCGTTCGACTTAAACGGGCTATATCGGTAGGGAATAAGCTATGATGAAGGAATGATGATCTGTCTGCGCTGTAGTTTCTTCAAGCGTCACATATGCCAGAGTAAAGATCACATTAAGTCTCAACAAATCCGCTGCGAGCATGAATCAATAACAGACTTCAGTATTACGGTATAGGCGCCAAGTACACTTCATGCAATGAATCTATTCGTAACATAACTGCAGCGGAAACTATTACCAATGTTTTGAAGATCAGAAAGTGATTTCATCTGTAACGCAATCTGTGAGATATTTGAGAACGTTCATATCAGAGGGTTGCAACGTCATCTCGTCATCCCTTGGAATGGCATAACCATGGACACTGAAACATCGGATATATTTTGAAAGATTTTTCAGATATGAGGGCATACCAATACGAAATGAATTTCATTTTCATTTACATGATAAATATATCATATCGCGGTTCTATGCCATAGATTATGCAAAATGTACAAACTCTGTAATCCTTTATAAAGTAAGCATACGTTATGCGTAAATTATTAACGTTCCCTTAGTGAGATATACTATATTAGTCTTGTGCTATGCTTAGACCGAGAGTGTTTGCCGTTTCGGCATTACCTACCCCGTTAATACCTGGGAAACGTCAAGAACAGTTACACTACATATAAGGGACACGCTTTTGTCTCGGTCATCTCATAATACATCTTACACTACAAGAAGTTCTGTGGCGATCCAGCCTGGCGATTCCTCCGATGCCTGTTTTGGAAGCTGTGACCACTGTTGACCACTGTTGACCACTGTTGCAGTGAGGTGAATATCCTCATCACTGTCTTCATGATTATAATCGCTGCTTGTATATTGCATTGGCCATTGTATTTGTACTACCAATGAGATTGTACTGCTGCACTATTTTGCACTGCCATTGTAATTCCTGTGTAGTGCTTTGTGAACTTAGTTACAATCAGAATACAATTGTTAGTTGTTGGTTTCACATCAGATTCCTTTACGGCCTGATTTCCAGGGACCCTATTGTTTCAACTCGGCATCAACATGTAACACCACTGTGTCACAAACACCTTGAGATTCCCAAAACGAAACCCAAACCAAAATAAAATAAAATTCTCTTCAAATTGAAGTCCATGTTTTCTTTCCAGACTGCATGTGATGTCACCAACAATCGTATCTCTGGATATCTGTCCAAGGACATTCTGGGGAAGTTAAGCCTATATTTCTTATATCCATCTCAACATAGACACTACCAAGACCTCCTCATGCAGCACATACGGTTACATACCACAGGGATGTTTCCTTCAACATAGACACCACCATGATCTCCTCATGCAGCACATACGGTTACATGCCACAGGGATGTTTCCTTCAACATAGACACCACCATGATCTCCTCATGCAGCACATACGGTTACATGCCACAGGGATGTTTCCTTCAACATAGACACTACCATGATCTCCTCATGCAGCACATACGGTTACATGCCACAGGGATGTTTCCTTCAACATAGACACCACCATGATCTCCTCATGCAGCACATACGGTTACATGCCACAGGGATGTTTCCTTCAACATAGACACCACCATGATCTCCTCATGCAGCACATACGGTTACATGCCACAGGGATGTTTCCTTCAACATAGACACCACCATGATCTCCTCATGCAGCTTTATACGGTTACATGCCACAGGGATGTTTCCTTCAACATAGACACCACCATGATCTCCTCATGCAGCACATACGGTTACATGCCACAGGGATGTTTCCTTCAACATAGACACACCCCATGATCTCCTCATGCAGCACATACGGTTACATGCCACAGGGATGTTTCCTTCAACATAGACACCACCATGATCTCCTCATGCAGCACATACGGTTACATGCCACAGGGATGTTTCCTTCAACATAGACACCACCATGATCTCCTCATGCAGCACATACGGTTACATGCCACAGGGATGTTTCCTTCAACATAGACACCACCATGATCTCCTCATGCAGCACATACGGTTACATGCCACAGGGATGTTTCCTTCAACATAGACACCACCATGATCTCCTCATGCAGCACATACGGTTACATGCCACAGGGATGTTTCCTTCAACATAGACACTACCATGATCTCCTCATGCAGCACATACGGTTACATGCCACAGGGATGTTTCCTTCAACATAGACACCACCATGATCTCCTTCATGCAGCACATACGGTTACATGCCACAGGGATGTTTCCTTCAACATAGACACCACCATGATCTCCTTCATGCAGCACATACGGTTACATGCCACAGGGATGTTTCCTTCAACATAGACACCACCATGATCTCCTCATGCAGCACATGCCACGGTTACATCAACATAGGGATGTTTCCTTCAACATAGACACCACCATGATCTCCTCATGCAGCACATGATCTCGGTTGCA